GACAGTCTGTACCTAAAGAACCGACAGATAAATCTGAAAGTCTTCTGTATATATATATATATATATATATATATATATATATATATATATATATATATATATATATATATATATATATATGTTTATATATATATATATATATACATATATATATATACATATATACATATATACATATATATACATATACATTATAAAGTGTCTATTCGCCCTCTTATTCTATAAACTGACTGCAGATACATTCGCATAACCCCCCTCACCCACACACCCACATCCCCACAATGGTTCCAAGGGAAATGAATTAAATAATTGAAAGTGAGAAAGTTTAGAGTAACACCATTCCAGATCTCACATTTGCGTGATCCCACATCGATCGACTGCTTGGCGGAAACAAATGGACTAGACATTTTTGTCACCTAAATGCACACAAACTTTGGTTAACAATTAAGGAAATAAAGACCGACATTGCAATTGCAATCTTGCCTATCCGTTGCAGAATAGTAACAAACAGTGAAAGTCAGCAACTGTCAACATTCATTGCAGGTTCCTACTGGCTGCCAAGCACGCACGCTTTCGAGGGGCGAAAGTCAATGTTATATTTCAGAGAAATATATTTTTTATTGTATTATTCCTTCCATCTGTTTACATCAGCAGCTGTATATCCCCCGACTGAAATGAAGGATAAGATGTTCAAATATGTATGTAATATTTTGAATGCAAGGGTCTTAGTAAACACACACACACACACAAGGAAATGCATGGTTAGACATCATCACATGCACAAACACACACAGATGCAGCCACGAACATAAACACGTACACAAGCGGGCAGGCAGCCTCCCCTAGCCTCTGGACATTCATTGTGAACATCAAAATTTGTGAGATCCTTTTATTCGAGCATAATACCTTTCTCGTCGACTTAGAGGGTTCGCGCGACTGCCTGTCATAGCGAGAAAAATATGCAGTCGCTTTTATTATACATCATACATCGTCTTTTTCTGGTTATGTTATGGTGGAGGCGTGTTGGCGAGTGCGTGTGAGAAAGCGCAGGCGAGAGTGATCGGAGCGAAAAGTTTTGATGTGTCGCAAGTCTGGCAGAAACTTCTCCACTTCAGAGACAGCTTAAACTAGCCAAGATTCAGACTTGATATTTTCAAATTTCCTTTAATGAAAACGATAATTGTCTAAAATATTTTCACAACTTTGAAAGGGAATAAATATGCATGTGCTATGATATCAGCTCAGCCGATCTTACAAGCCCTTGCATTAAAATATTGAAAGAACTAAAGACAAAGGAGAAGCCCTCTAAGAATTCTCAGAACCACAGATTTAACAGCTAGATATCAGACAAAAAAAAAGAAAAAAAGAAAAAAAAAATCGTGATGTACACCGCAGACCAATAAATCCTCTAAATTAAAAGTTATTTTATCGCGTGTGAAGTCGAAGTCCTGGAGCTGCCGAGGAAAAATTTACAACAAATCATTTCTATGAAGTGACGCGTTCTACTTTAAAAGATCACGGCGTCCATCCGTTAGGCACAGCAATCGAAAAGAATAAATGTTTAACGACAGCGGCATTCACGAAGGAGAAGTGAACTGGTATTTTCCCCTAGTAATCACGCAGCAATTACCGGCACATTAGCACCGGTTCTCGGCGTCCTGACAGCTGGACGAGGCCATACCGCTCTTACGCTCTGATCGATGACAGTCCTGGAGAGTTGCGGCCCACAAGGAGGAGGAGTAGGGGGAGGAGTAGGAGGAGGAGTAGGAGGAGAAGTAGGAGGAGTAGAGAGGAGAGAGTAGGAGGAGGAGTAGGAGGAGGAGTAGGAGGAGGAGTAGGAGGAGAAGTAGGAGGAGGAGTAGGAGGAGGAGGAGGAGAAGTAGGAGGAGGAGTAGGAGGAGTAGGAGGAGAAGTAGGAGGAGGAGTAGGAGGAGGAGTAGGAGGAGAAGTAGGAGGAGAGGAGTAGGGAGGAGAGTAGGAGGAGGAGGAGGAGGAGGAGGAGGAGTAGGAGGGGGAGTAGAGGGGGGAGGAGGAGGGGAGGAGGAGGAGGAGGAAGTAGGAGGAGGAGTAGGAGGAGGAGGAGTAGGAGGAGGAGGAGTAGGAGAGAGGAGTTAGGAGGAGAAGTAGGAGGAGGAGTAGGAGGAGGAGGAGGAGAAGTAGGAGGAGGAGTAGGAGGAGAAGTAGGAGGAGGAGTAGGAGGAGGAGTAGGAGGAGAAGTAGGAGGAGGAGTAGGAGGAGGAGAGGAGGAGGAGTAGGAGTAGGAGGGGGAGTAGGAGGGGGGGGAGGAGGGGGAGGAGGAGGAGGAGGAGTAGGAGGAGAAGTAGGAGGAGGAGTAGGAGGAGTAGGAGGAGAGTAGGAGGAGGAGTAGGAGGAGGAGTAGGAGGAGAAGTAGAGGAGGAGTAGTAGGAGGAGGAGTAGGAGGAGGAGGAGGAGGAGGAGTAGGAGTAGGAGGGGAGTAGGAGGGGGAGTAGGAGGGGGAGGAGGAGGGGGAGGAGGAGGGGAGGAGGAGGAGGAGGAGTAGCGAGGAGGAGGAGTAGGAGGAGGAGGAAGTAGGAGGAGAGGAGGAGGAGGAGGAAGGAGGAGGAGGAGGAGGAGGAGGAGGAGGAGGAGGAGGTAGAGGAGGAAGAAGAGAAGACAAAAGGAGA